TTCCTTCCTTCCTTCCTTCCTTCCTTCCTTCCTTCCTTCCTTCCTTCCTTCCTTCCTTCCTTCCTTCTTCATACAGACATCAAGATACATACAACTGTTTTTATTCAATGAAACTGTTTTATTCAATAGTTTCAGTCTGTCTATGAATCTGACACTATGGAGAGGGCCAAAAAGAAAACGTGAGGCATTTGCTGAATCAGACTTTAATAGAAGAGACAATACCCAGCACCTGGTCAGCAAGGAGATTGCTGCATATCAGTAATGTATGCTTTTCCAGATAAAAGATGGAGGTTTCATTTTGGGGAGAAACATATTACTCATTTATTTACTTTCAATTTCAATATTTATTTACTTTCAATAAAGGATGTCTGTATGTGGGCGGGGAGGGGATGTTCATGCACGTATGCATGCATGGGAGTGAGAAACATATTTAGAATAGTCTAGGGAATTCCATCGAGTACACAATCAGGAGTAGGGTGAAGGTCCAAGACAGAAGCCAATACTTGTTCAGTGAAGAGTGGAATAGGCCTCACAATTTGCAGGACTTCAGACAGCAGTTTAATTAGGACATCATTCCATGAGCTCCTGCACCTTTCCCTGTCACAAAAGCAGGGATCACTTCCCCTCTCTTTTCTGACTGCATAGGACCCCAGTGGCAATTATAGCAATTGCTAACATGAGAGAGTAATGGCAATGAAGTCCTGAGAATATTTTTAGGCATCTCTCAAAACAATTCAAAGCTGAGTGATAAAAAAGGAAGCCAGGGTCACATGGCCAGGCATCTCATGACAGATAACAGATTGAGAATCTCAATCATAAAAAGCAACCCCGTGATGCCATTCATATCAAACTATCCGCCAAGTCAATGCCTCTTCTTATTTTAAAAAGCATAATATATGGAAAAGGTATAAGTTCACTTTTAAAATTCAAGCTTGTTGTGAACCAATCTTAAGATCCTGTTAGGGACATTTCCCTTCACAAATGAAAAATTATCATTAGAAGAAATAGGGTTCTTCAAATGATGGCAGGAGCATCATGCCATATTATTGTCAACAAACCCATTAATGTGGACCAGTGTTATTCGTGTTCTACAGAGATGGAAATAACCACAAACAAGATAAAAAGACACTAATGAATTATTCACAGCTCTCTCCTCCGACTGAAGTGGGACCACTCAACTGTTTTCCCCATGTGGAAAACCAGTTCACAACATGATTTATAGACTTGGATGGGCAGCAAAGATGTTTATGCATCCTGAGCTTTTCAAGTGGAATACCCTCTTCAGCATGAAAATACTGAGTCTGAAAATACAACTCTTTAAGCCAATCATCTTAACCAAATTTGTGAGAAAAAGGTGGAAATAAAAGATTAAGAACATCTTCAACAAATATAGGGAACTGCCATAGGATTTCAAGGAAAAAACTGTATATGTACTATATTGTCACGGTTGAAATAGCTAACTGGATACATAGAAGATGGAGGGTCTATGTATCCATAATGCAGACAATTCATTCCCAGGCGTAAATATTTTCTGCCAATCAGAACTACTGTACTACAATGTTTTGTCTGAACCTTTAAGTATGCCTCTCTCTCAGCTTTCCTGGCAATTGAGCGCTGAGGGCTAGAGAATCTAAAGTCCTAGGAAGAGCTTTTAAAATTGGACTTGGGATTATACATTACATGTTCTCCCTAACGTGCTTACCCCTAGCTGGATAAATATGCCAAGTTCAGAAAAGGAGAGATAAAGTAGAAAAAGAACATGAAACTATAGACAAAACATCAGAACATCAGGGGTAAGAACAGCTTGCATATTAAACAGTTAACAAAAATACTTGAAACTTGAACAGCAAAAAGGGACAAAAAATAAAATACCTGGTTTCCACAAGCATTTTACCAGATTTTCCATAGGCGTGGAAGGCTAGAAGGAAAGAAAAAGTGAGGAGAGGGGAAAATACATTATCACAATTGTTATTCAAGCATGTGTTCAAAACGTGGCATGTATAAAATGAATATCACTCACCAGAGGCAACTCAGAAGGCAGGGTTTGCTAGTTTGGTTCCATCCCACCACCACCACCACGTTGGGGCTCCCACCCGCCCCCCCTTTGACATACCATTCAGAAATCAGAAGCCACATGAAAACAAATTTGGGAGAAAGATTCAAAACAGGTTCTTCTTCTCTCCTTCCCCTCCCCCCTCCCCAACCCAACAGCACTAAGTAGGACTTACACATGGTAACCATTAAAAGAAGAAAGGCAGCACTGAAAATATGCGAGCCTTAAGAGATTGTGTAGCTAAAAGTTACTGCAGTACAAAATTTCAGTGGGGTTCCCGATTTTATTCCTTCCTGCCCCACTGCAGCTGAACTACTTTGTGCGGCTGAGGGGAGGACCAAGATGGGTGCCCAGAAAACTCAACAGCCTTGACCGTATCCATGATTCACCACCACACCAAAGGGATTTAACAGATAGATATTTTTTTCCCCCTATTTCATGCACTGATCGCTGCTTGCCACACAAAACAATCAGCATCCTTGAAATCGCTGCTGCTCTGGAAAGCTCAGCTTGCATTTTCAAAAGCCATTTGACTATGAGAATAAGAGGAAAATTACCACCTCCAATTCTGAGAGAGAACCTTTTTAACTGGAACCATTACTAATGCCACATTCATGTGAAATGTTTACAGAGGGCAGCTGGCTTTCAACCTCACTTTGCAGAATGTATTTATTCTCTTGGGGAAATCTGTCTTGTTGGGTTTTATTTTATTTTATTTAAAAAAAAACCTAGTGCAGGAATGTAACAGAAGAAGAATGAAGGCAAGAGAAAGCACCTCCCTCCACAACGTAAAGGCCAAGGATAAAATCTCCTTAGAAATCAATTTCTCAATTTGAAAAAGAATCACTGGTTTTCAATTAAAACAAGTAAGAAAACAGAATACAACAAAGGCAGGGCCATTGATGAAAATGTCCTTGATGGTTCATCCTCAGTAAATCTGTGGCGAAGGGAGGACAGAAAAGTCATTCAAATTTATTTCAAAAGAGAATTTTGAGGCAAGCCCAGTTTAGCAGAGAGGGGCAAATTGGCTGGCCATCACAGATCTAAATGCTTGATTATACTTTCACTTTTCATCTGCTATCGTGCTCCAATTCTACAACTGAAGTCTCAGTGACTAACTTTCCAAGGCAAGTACTTGTAAATATCAGTTTCCTATGTTCTTGTTTGCTTTAAAAATGTTTGCGGACGTATACATTTAAGTACAAAGCAGACTTACTTCCTTGGCTCCAATATAGAATAGGCAGACAAAAATTAGTCCCAAGAGCAAACTTGTAAGTGAAGCCTTAAGATAAATTTTAATGATTTGTTTCCACAGATTATTGGGGGTGGGGGCTCATATTGCAAACGTTTTAGATTCTTTCTTTCTCTGGCCTTATAAAAGTCTAAACATACAATCTAGAAGGGATTAGCAACTTTGTTGATCTGAGAATCTTATCTTCACATGCTTTCATGGAAGAAAGTAAAAAGAGCCAAAATAACCAAATGCTGGCAGGGAAAGAAGTTTGCCCAAATTCTGTCTCCCTGTCTGTCTCCAAAAAGGACAAAAAAAATCTGAGAGAGAGAGAGAGGGTGAGTCTCATTCGTTTAATATTCAATGTAGAGAAGCTTTAGAAAGGCGTTTAGGAAATTTGGAGAGTAATACTAACAGTTTTGAGTAAGTCACATACTCAGAGATAGTTCATACATTATCTGATTATGGAAATTGTTGCTTGCATGGGTGGTCAATTTGCATGCTCAGTATAACTTCATGGGAGGTCTTTCCAGAAGATCACAGTAGCTACTTGAGTTAAATGGGTATGCTGGAAATGAAAAATCTGGGTTTTATTCTTCGTGGAAGTAGCCACTGGGATTGTCTATAAGAATGTTCTCTGGCATTCTATTGTTCACATGAAGAAAAAAAGGCGATGCTTGTGAGTAGTTATTTAAAAATGTAAGCCAGACCATATAGCCTCCCACTGATGTTTAGGAATAAATGCCTGCTTTTGTCATTAGAAAAAGGAAGGACCTACTTGACCAAATCCTTAGAAATAAACCCAGCTGTACATACAAGTTAATAAGCCAAATTCATTCATCTGTGTGTGTTCAAGATCATCATCATTTCGGATTTTCATTGGGCATGTTGTCAGCGTCAGAAGAAAACCGATTGACTAAGAAATAGCCATGAGAAATAGCAACCTTTCAGAAGAGAATTTGGAGTTTTTGAAGTAAAGTCAGGTGAAAAATGCTTAACTGGAAAAGTGGTGGATAGAATGAACAGAAGGATTCTGTCAGAAACTGGAAGTAACTAAGGGGAGTAATATTCTAGGTCAGAGTTGGGGAACTATGACCCTTTTATGACTTGTGGACTTCAACTCCCAGAATTCCTGAGCCAGCTCATAATTCTGGGAGTTGAAATCCACAAGTCATAAAATCTCCACAATAACAAATTATAATTAAAATCTCCATCTCCTGTTCTAGGATGTCAAGTTATTCCTACTGGTTAGCACCTAGCAAGTGATCATTACAATCAAGATACCACACTAGGGATGATTTCCTTTAGATCCCGGGTGTCAAACTTGCCATGTCATGTTGCCATCATGTGACGTTTTTCCCATTCGCAGAGCTGGGGTGGGCGTGGCCTGCACATGGCGTATCTGGGCCCATGGGCCGTCAGTTTGACACCTGGACTAACCAGTCTCAGATCTGTTGGGCTTTCGCTTGGACTATTCCTAACCACTGTAACCATAATGGCACATTCTGGCTATCAGTGGTCGGCAAGAACTATAGTCTTAAAATGTGTCAAGTTGGAAGAGGTTGCCCCCTATTTAATACAGCTGTGGACACAACATTTTTTTGCATTTATATCACACACCTTTCCTCTGAAAGTTCAAGGTAGGATATATAAGGATCTCCCTCATTATATCTTCATAGCAACAATCTTGTATGGTACATTAGGCTGAAAAAAGGGAGACTGATCCAAAATATCCAAAGAAACTTCCTAACCAGGTGAAGATGGCTTTCAACCAAGTTCACACACAAAATGTAAGTTTGTCAGATATACTGGAGAGGAAAATATTAAGCTTTCCTCTCATATATTGAATACGTATATCTATCCCAAGTATAACTTCATGGCCTCATACTTCTTTATTGCTTTTTAACCATTTCAGTCATACTGAATTCTATAGTCATGGTTAATATTGATTCCAGGTAAATAACAGTTTTAATTTTTTAACTGCTTAAACTGCTAGTTAGCTGTTCACCAAGTTAAATATATAAATAAAAGTAAATAAAATACTTTCCAAATCTCCAAACATCTATTTATAAGGTATAATCTAAAACATTTTCAATCAAAGTAAAATATATTCATTATAGTCTTCACAAATGAGCCGAAATTTCCATTGCCTAAGCAAGACAGGTGTTAAGTGAGTTTCCTTCTACGAACTTCCCTGCCTCCGCTGTTAAGTGAATCATTGTGGTTGTTAAAGTAGTAATGGTTGTTAAGAGAATCTGGCTTCCCCATTGACTGTGCTTATCAGAAGGATCTCATCAAAGTGGGATCTCATGATCTCGGGACACTGCAAATATCATAATGACATGCAAATTGCCAGGCATCCAAATTTTGATCATGTAACCATGGCGGATGCTACAACGGTTGTGTGAAAAATAGTCATGTCACTTTTTTCAATGCTGTTGTAACTTTAAACAATCACTAAATGAATGGTTGTAAGCTGAGGACTAGCTGTATCGCTATGTATGTGTTAGATATTATACACATTTATACCTTGCCTGTTTTACTTCATGTAACTTAAGGCAGTGTGCCCAAAGCAGCCCCCCTTATCTTTTTCCACTGAGGTACTAACCCAGGGGTATCAAACTCACATCGTCATGGCGGTGTCACGTGATGTATTGGGGCTTTCCCTGACCCCCTTTGCTAAACCAGGCGTGAGCGTGGTCAGCACATGATGCAACCGGCTCATGGCCAGGAGTTTGACAGCCCTGTGCTAACCAATCTCAGATCTGTTTAAATTCAAGCCAAGGAGCCAAAATCAGAAAAGTATAAAGCAAGCTCTAAATCTGGTTTTCAATAAAATGACTTCACCCTTTTAACTTTGTTCAAGACAGCCAGATACCAGCTTTGCTGTATCATTAATAAGAGCAACTAGTATGGCAGCACAGCTAGCCCCATTTCTTGAAATGGACTTGTCTTTGAACTTGGCAGTGTGTGAGGAATTGTTAAACAAATGGTGCTCTCTATCTTCAGAATACTGATGGTGTACAGGGTTATTTCTGTATCTGCAAGAACAGTTCTAGAGTATCAATCAAATCTTTGTTACACTCACAGACCAGCATGATTTTAGAGTGAGGACATCCTGGTGTTCCCATATACAGGAGAACCTGGAGTCACAAAGATAAATTGAGGTTGGACACTTTGGGTCTTACTTCCACATCTACGCCTAGAAAATACACAGGCAATGTTAAAGGGTAAGTTATTTAAAATTACCCTTTCATAGCTCCACAATGGTTTAAAAATAAATATAAAATACACTGTTCTTAGTTTCTAACAGACAAACACTACTGATTGGTTGGACTCATAACAACTGTTCCTTCACCCTTCAACCCCCTTCCAAATAATGTTTAGAGGTGTTTTGTTTATTCCTATTGTTTCTTGGCTGCTTTGGCTCTTCTAGCCAAAGCTTTGAATGTTCTTCCGGAAGACGTAGCTTAAATTAAGTTAATTTGTAAACTATTCATGCATCCTTCAAAGCTGCCAAAGCCTCCCACAGAATCAGCTTAGGTTCTGCCAGGATCGCTTGCAGCTGGACCGGTGTAGAAGAAAGGCAATGACAAAGGCTGCTGTGTGTAGTTGCTCAACCTTGATGCATCAGGATGACTCCAGCAGTAAAGCCTTCCCTTGGGCTAAGGATGCTTTTTTTCCCAGGCATTCTCTCCCACTTTGGCTGATGGCATCTCTCCCAGGGCAAAGGCAGGCAAAAAAAAACAAAAAAAAGGGAGGGGTGGGGGGGGGGAGAAGCTATTTCTTTCCGCACCGATGTTTATGTGCCAGAAAGTTTGGAAGCATTTACTGACCCTTCTGTGTTTCTAAGCTGCTTAGTTTTAGAAAGTGAAGGGAACCTCTTATTCCTGGCAGACAATCCAAGGTAAACAGGACTTAATGTATTCAGTCAAAAGGGGAAGCGTATAAAGACTTATTGTGACACAGAAGGGGAAATCAATGATTATGGGCATCTGGTGTTAAGGAGGAAGAGCTACATTTGATCCCTCTCTTCCTCTCCCTCAAGAGAAAAGAGTTCTAATTAAGCATATATTTTGCTGTTAAGGTTTAACCTTCAAGACCACAAGTCTTGTTGGGTTGTTTTTTTTCCCCCTTGCTGCCAATGGACATATTTTGCAATGCTTACGCTGTGCAGCTAAATGAGGTAGCCTCGGGCAACGGAGGAACTGGGGGTAGCCGTCTTTCAGCAGTCACTAAGGAGACTGCACACCGCTTTAAATCCTCTTTTCAGCAGCGAAACCAGTCAATTCCCTACTCTGACTCCCCAAGAGGCACCTCAGGAAGCACATGATGGGTTTACAGCTGTGAGAGGGCAGAAAACAGCATATCCTGTCATGAGAATCTTTCACCTCTGCCACCCCCAGGGACAAGCTCCACCTCTGCAATGAGCAAACTTTAAATGGGTAAAGGCATTCACCCTTTTGGAGCAGCTGCCTAAAAGAAAGTTCGAGAGAGAATATCCCACCCCTGCTCACGACTTGTTTTCCAGCAAAGAGAATGCACACCGAGCAGAAATGTTTGAATCCTCAAGGCCTGGCCACGGATCTGCTCTGCGCTGCTGTTCCACCCACTCACCCACCCCTCAATCTTTGGGAATCAGAGGAGAGGTCAAAAATAGATGGTGATCCTGGTGCCAAGACACAACAGTGAACTAAGAGGAAAAGGACTGCTGGTCCTGGCCAAAAAACCACACATGAATCTTGCAGATGTTTCAGCGTTCTTGGCTGCTTGAAACTTGGAACACTGTTTCCCTTAACCTTAAGCTGCCATAAGCACACACTCCAAGAAGACCATACCAGGGTCTCTACTGGTAGAACCCAACACGCTCAACTACATGCTGGGCAGGGGAAGTGAGTGGGTTTGAGCAGAGACCAACACCATATAGCAGGAAACCTCTGTTTGGACCCTTCCCTTCTTTTTAATCCATTGAATTGAAGCATTCTACATCATCTCTGAAGAATTAAATCTGTACTTTAGGAATGTTTGCTATATAAAGGAGAAGATAAATATTTGGTAGTGTAAGGAAAGGACACATTTTATATACTGGGAATAATTCAGCCATGCCAAGAGGAAGTTGTAAATTAGGAAATGGGAAGAAAAGACTGGGATGAAACCACCCTCAAGTTGAACATGCTCACCTAGTCCAGGATAGGTCCTGCGTTTGCTGAGATTGGCTGATTTCACTAGGAACATACAGGATTGATGAGTCATCCAGGAGCAGAAAATAAGCAGTAGGGCTCCCAGAAAGATGCCACACTACAAAATATGAAGGGGAAATTGTATAAAATACTAGACAAATAATCATCACCCCCTCCCCCAAAACAATTTTTCTTTTATGTATTCTTACTACCATTCCATGTTACCCAGAGGCTGCCACGTTTTCATTTGCAAGCACATGCTGGCTGTGTTAGAGGAGATTCCCTTACTTCTGAGCAACAACCAGCCAAAATGTGGCATATGAACTCTTTCTTTCTTTCCTTTTTTCTTTCTCTCTCTCTTTTCTTTCCTTTCTTTCCCCTCTCCCTCTCTTTTTCACACACACACACACACATTTACGGCAAAGACAGAGAGCAGCCACCTATTTGCTAAATGGTTCAGTTGCAATAGCTCCTTGCTTGGAAAGAGAAGCCAAAGCAATTTATGGAAGAGAAAAACCTTCCTGCCCTGCTGATGTGACAGGTTTTGGGTCTATTCCAGAACAGTGATCTGTCTTTAGCTACTACCAGATTCATGTTAAACAAGTTAGCATGCTGTTGATCCAGGGGTTTAAACTCCTCTGCACAAGTAAAACTGGCTGTTCTATCCACTTACAGCATAAACATAAATTACCCTGTTAGCTACCTGTCCTGAAAGCATTGTGCCGGTTTGCTCTCTGGCCACATTTGCAGAGGAAGTGGAAGGAGTTTGGGGGAAAGAGGGGGAGAGAACCTGAATGGCTGACCATTTATGAAAACAATGCATGACGCTGGACAGGAACAAGTGGTGCTACATTTTAATCACAGCTGCTATTTGTTCTGCTTTAATCAAAGGAGTTGCAGCTTTTGAAGCTTCTGGCAACTGTACGCATAACAAACCAATGACCTATTCTAAGGACCCCTTAAATCCAAAGAGCTGTAAAAGCCTTTTTCTTCAAGGGAAGGTTTATTGACATCGGTTAGTAGCTCTGGTATTGAAACAACCAGTCTTCTGAATGTTCCTTAAAGAAACTGCCACGGCACATTTCCCCCCCCCCACACACACCCACCAAAATGAAGATTATCTCAGCCATTTCCAGATATAGCAAAATAGGACCTGCTCATAGAAAGACTACATTCATGCAATCTTACTGGGCAGAAGTTGTAAAGAAATTAGCATTCTACTACCCTGATCTTCCACCACGCCATTCACGCAGGCAAAGACCACAGCATCTATTATCAGCATCTGGTAACAAGTGTTGCCATGCATTAGGAAAGCATCTGTGACCAGATGTTCATGTGCATAACCACATATCACTGGTGGTAAGCATTTTTATAACCACAAGCACTTAATTACTAACAGCAGTCCACCTCCTGTTAAGTCCAACACAGGAAAATCAACTATGCCCATGAATGTCCCATGCACTAGATGGGCTCCTTGTCTAATTATCAGTGGGGACACTGATCTCCATGGCCTAAAACACAGGTATAGGGGCTCTTTGCTGTAGCACCAATATCAGAATTATAAGCAGACAGACAGATGAAGAAGAGTAAGTGACGCCAAATAAGACAGTGCCATGCAGGTATAAACCCCCTCCACAACCTTACACAATAACTCTTTCAACATTCCCGTACACTTTTTTCTAGGATTATCTAATTTTCGTGTTTACATTTGTAGTTGCAGAACAAATCCTGTTAAAAGTAACCCCATTCCCTGAAATTAGATGTAAGATTGCACTGCCATTGTTTTTATACCGCAAGAACTTCTTAAGAAAAGGCAACAACGAAAGTTGAATGGAATACATGTATCAAAGGTATACATCCTGGAGCATTCAGATATCTCTGGAAATCCTCATCTCCATTCCCTATAAAGAATGCATAAAATCAATGGATGCTTGAAGGATAGGTATCTTACAAGGAAACATGGTCTAAACTAACACTTGTTGCAGGATATAATCCATATTCAACAAACAGCTAACTGCAAACAGCAAACATCAAGGATGATAAGTAGGTAGGAACCAGGATATGTTTGTTGCCGTGAGTCTTTTGTAAAAATAAAGGAAGGATACAAATAAATAAATAAATATACCTAAATTAACCCAAAGTTAAAGCTGACAATAACAGGCCTTTTAATGTATGAATTTGACCAAAGAACTGTGTTCATTTTTGACTAATCATCTCTTCCATCAAGAGATACCTTGATGTAGATCTACATGTGAGAAATATAATCACATCATGGTGCCATCTGTTAACAGACCTACTTAAATGAGTAAAGTGTTTTGCTTTGCTTCATTTTAATGCCATCTGTTGGGAAAAAGATGGAACTAACCAACAGCTAACATTTGATTGGTTGAAATCTTTTGATAATAACAATTTTAACTTTGCAACAATTGTTTTCCAATCTTTTAATGATTTTTTTTTTAAAGCAATGTCAGGCTATCTATTTTCTTAGCAATTTTTAAAAAATGCAGTTAATTTCCTACTTTCTTGAAGCCTGTGTTGTGGGACTACATATTTATCAGGATTGAAAACAATAAAGATATTTGTGGCACGAAATTTTTATAGATCACCATTATACACAAGGAATATTAACCTGAATTAAAGTGATAACTTCAGAATGAGGTGTATGGGTCAATCATATACATACATGATTAGATGATAGAAGGAAATAGTAATGTCAGAATGATATAAAATACAAGAGCTGCAGATAGAGTTAATAACTTATTTAAATTAAAATTCACAAATTGTTGCTGTGGTCTGACATAAACATTCTTGCATTGCTGATACAAGTGACAAGGGCATTCTTTTCTCTCTGTTCAGTCTTTGTGTAATAAACACAAATCATATATCAGCCCTTGGGTGAGCCTGAAAAAACTAAGCAGACTTGGTCAGTAACTAAGACTAGACTGGGAAGTCAAACAATGTACTAGAAGAAGAGAATGGCAAACCTTCATTAATGTTGCCAAGATAACAACATGGATCTACATTTCAGAACAAGCTGACTTTTTGTAGGAATTAACTGGATAGTAGTTATCTATATTGTAGTAATTATTAACAAGCTAAGTAGTAGCATCTAGCTGACCCTGGCTGTTTTTGAAAAGTAAAGCAAGGCTGGATCTAATCTATACATGTACATTTGTTTTTGTTTTTTCCTGCCTGAGTGTAAAACATTAATGTTTTCTACACTGAATTTCATTTTGTTAGATAGGACCCAGTATTCAAGTCTGTAGAGCAAGCTTGTCCAACCCGCGGCCCACGGGCCGCATGCGGCCCAGGTCGGCTTGTAATGCGGCCCAGTGCCCACCCCAACCTTTGTGCAAGAGGACAAGCCAGCGAGGAGGAGGAGAGGCAGGCGCAAGGCGGGGTGAGGCGAGCGCCACGCCAAGCAGCAACAGAAAAGGCGGGCGCTGTCAGAGCCAAAATATCTGATGAGCACCTTGAGCACTCACTGAGAATTGCAACAAGTTCCATCGAAGCAAATATGGATGCATTGGTGGCTGAGAAACAATGTCAAACATCTCACTAACTTCATTTCCAAATAAATTTAACATGTTAACTATGTTTTCTATGGGGTTTTTGGATGATCAGGTATCGTTACTGTTATTTTATTTTATGTGCGGCCCAAACCAAATTTTCATCTTCTACTGTGGCCCAGGGAAGGTGAAAGGTTGGACAAGCCTGCTGTAGAGTTTCCTTCTCGATCTTGAGCCTATTTTCTGGGGTATTGGCTATTCCTGCCAGTTTAGTGTCGTCTGCAAGTTTGATTATTTTCCCTTCTATTCCCTCATCTAAATCGTTTATGAAAATGTTGAAGAGTACTAGGCCTAAATGGCAACTTTGGGGTACCCCACTGCTTACTTCCTTTCATGTAGATGTAGTTTCATTGAAGACTATACATTGGGTGCAATTTGTCAGCTATATCAACAAATTATACAGTGAACTATTCTGAGTTTTCCTATTATCTTCATTTATATGATATGTAATGTAATGCACAATATGTTGAGAAACCTTGCATTTCAAAGGGTGTCAGAGTTGGGAACTCCAGATGACATGCTATGGAATAGTAATTGAAGAATGCGGCACTGATATAAACTATTGATCTCATGTCCTATTTACAGACTATTCATTGGCATATGGATAGCACAATGGAAAGTAGTATTCTGGGCTAAATGAATCTTTTATAGAAGCCACTATAATCTTTTCTAAGTTTATCTCCTAAGAGAGCAATGATAAAATGACACCCTTGAAATGTATTGGGTAACAGCTTCTAATGTCTCAAACATTATATCTAATGGTTACAATGGCTGGGAATTTCAGGAAGCTGCATATTCATTTATTATAATATGTATGCCACTTATTCATTGGACAGGCAATTTCACTTCTGTGTATGTCAGTGTTTTTCAACCTTAGCCACTTTCAGATATGTGGATTTCAACTCCAAGAATTTTCTAGCCAGCCATGTTGGTGTTCGTGATGCACACATATTAAAAAAAAAAGGATTATACATTTTTTCTTAATTACTGAAAAAAACATATTCCAGGGCTCTTTATTCTGTAAAGCCACGTAATGCAAACTTTATACTTTGTGTGTACCTTCAAGTCAATCCTGACATCTTCCTGGAAACATCCCTGCAGTTTTCTTGGCAAGATTTCAGAAGGGATTTGCCACTGCCTTCTTCCTAGGGCTAGTGAGAGAGTGAGCGGTCCAAAGTCACCCAGCTGGCTTTAGGCCTAAGGTGGGACTATGCACTAGGGTAAGGTGGGACTACAATTCAGCCTCCTTGTTTCAAGCCTGATGCCTTAACCACTATACCAAAATGGCTCATAAGGAATGTATCTGGAGCTTAGACACACAGATAATTTCTTAATATGAAACAACCTGGGGCATACGTTTCTAAAATCTACTTTACATTGGATTCCACAATCTGAAAATCTCTCAACATCCATGGCAATGGTGAGGGGGGAAGGAAAAATAGAAAAAAAGAAACAAGATTTATATGACTCTCATATAGATATAAGGTTACTTTAATGATGAACAGAAATAGTTTGTCATTTTTCAATTTATAAAACAAAAGTTTAATCCCAAATTCTACATTTTTGTGCCTATCAGACAAGTCACACAGATGAACAGGTGTCTAAGCACCACATTATACCAAACATGACCAGACAATATAAGAGAGAGAAAGCATTAAAGAAATAATGAATGTTGGAATTCATGTATCAAGAGAACTCTTACTTTTATATGCTATCCTCTTTTATATCAATAATGCAGGACAGATGTTCTAAGAACAGACAATATAACTCAATTTAAAAAGAATACGAAATAAGAATAAAAAGTTGAAACATAAACCTTGAGAAATATAACAAGCAAGCCATGCTACTGCTCCTAAGGTGAACCTATACATTTATATAATAACCATTAATGCAAGATAATACTAAGAAGTTTGGAAGTGGCTTAAAATATATTTTTTTCCAAAAAAAAAAGTAAGAATTAATCCCTGACCAAGAGAAAAGGAAGTACAGGGTTATCAGTTTCAATATACAAAATTGGTACCATGCAAATATGCAGAACATCTGACACACACATGGAGAAATATATGTCCCTCTGACTTAGTGCTGATACCAGGCAACTACCTGGTTTAGTCCCTGCAGTTTTCTTGGCAAGAATTTCTGAAGCTTTTTGACATTGCCTCTTTCCTAGGACTGAGAGGTAAAGACTGGCCCAAGGTCAGCCAGCTGGCTTTGTGCCTCAGGGTTTCTAGCCTGGTGCCTCAACCACTATATACCAAACTGGCTCTTTAGAATAGATAATTACGGGATACGTTTAAAAGTGAAGGCAAGTAATAAAAGGGCATAAAGCTTAGCATAAAAGAAAAAAAGGGCAAAAGGTGACCATAAGGATCAGTTTTAAAGGGGCAATCCCATCTTTAAACTGACAGCAAAATTAATACTCATTAAAATGAGTAGTTTTAATTCTCTTCCCCGGGGCTTCCCAGGGTCCATCCACTAAATGAATATACTAGGAGCAACTTTTCCAACACAAAGATGCTCAGGAAAGGAAAGGAAAGAAGGACAATTACGGAAAGGCCCACCTTGCCACGCAGACCGACTCGAAGGGAGCCCCGGACACGCCGGAGGTCCCGTCATTCCCGCCGTTAAACGCTTAAACCAGGGAAGGGATGGCCGCGCAAAAATCAGACTGACCTGTCGGAAACAGAAGGGCATCGTCAGCACGCTAACCCCGACGATGCTGTTCACAATGTTCATGATCAGACCCCAGTTGGAACCCGAAGGCGCCGAGGAAGCCATCGCCGAGGGGAGTGGGGGAGAAAGGACGCGGGGAAGAGCGGGCAGGTGAAACAGGGGAAGGGAGCCTGGGAAGAGGGAGGGCCAGACTACGGCGGGGGGGGGAGGGGTCAGCAGGCCGTTTCGAACACCAGCCTCCCACCAAAACAAACTCTTCTCCTGCAAGCCGGCTCCAACCGCACACGTCGCACGCACTTCCTCATTCCCTTGCTCTGTTGGCGCTTCCGGGATGCGAAACCACCGAGGGGCCTTTGCCTAGAGCGGCGCGACTGCAACGAGCGTTGGGTTTGCCCCCGGAGGACTGAAGTCGAGAGGGAAGCGGGAAGTGGGTGGGGAGGAGCGAAGTTGCCATAGCAACTCCTCTTAACGCCGGCGCTCGCCGCCTACTAGGCCGCGGCGGGGTGGAGGGGCCGCTTTTCTTTGCTGCTGCTGGTGGTCGGGAAAACGGGTTTTACTCCGAGTGGATCCCTGGGGAAGACCAAGGCGAAGGCTAAGAGTTCCACGTAGGTGGAGCAACGCGAGACTACGAGGGCCTTACTCGCCCACCAGGATCTCCTCTCGAATTTGGTTTGAATAATGGCGCCTACTCTCGAGAGAATGAGGCACGGTGAATTTCTGAATAATACTATGGGAGATGAATGCGGGAGGATCCGTCTGCTCACAGAGAAGCAGCAAAGGGCGCACCCAACAACCAGTAAAGGCTTGAACTGGCAGATTAACAGAGTTGGAAGGGACCTTATAGGTCATCTAGTCCAGGGGTCGCCAACCTTTTGGACCTCAGGAACCACCAAACTCATAATTTTAGATCCCAAGGACCAGGGTTGCCAGATCGCAGCTTGGCTCTACGGCCAAACTCAAGTCAAAATACGGCCAAATTCGGCCAAATTTTCCAGCCAAATTTTTTTATGCCATATAACATGAGGATATAATGTTTTTTTTGTTTTTTAACTGTTTTTAAATAATCAAATCATAAAAAATAGTCTTTATTCGACAACTTGATGTGGCGTCATGGGAATTTCTGCGTTTCTTTACTCACATCCAGGCTAGGCAGCTCATTTCAAATAACCGCTACTACCGTTTGGAAAGCTCAGGGCCAAATGCAGCGATCCTGAGGAGCGGGGAGCTAGGGCATGAGGGTTTTTAGGGGGATTCCCCCCCCCTGATTGAAAAAATAAAATCACTAAACAAATAAAACGACACAAAAATAGCAATTATATATAGAATCCTTATGAAAACTGAATGCTCAATAACCATCTTTTCAAAAAGAGAGGAATTATCCCAATAATTACATGAAAACAAAGAGTACTTCTAATGTAGCAATGTGAAGAAAGAAAAAGGTAAAAAAACAAACTATAAGATCAAGTCTGTATGATTGAAATAGAAGCAAAGGCATGAATGAACTGCTCTAATATGGAATGTTCATGATATCCTCGTCAATATCCTCAGGATGATCTGGTTGACCGGCTTGGTTTCCGTACATGTTCTCTGATGTGAACAGCTCAAGCATGCGTTCTGTTGCACTGAAATCCGTACAGCACTTTCCCTGAAATTGTAGATTTGTATGAATTCTGATGATGGCATCCAACATTTCCGTCTGTAAGCAATTTCTAGCCTTCGTCTTCACGTGTTACTGCAGACAAAATGCGTTCTACAATGGCGTTACTTGTTGGTGTTGCAAGGCAGGACAGCACATACATTGCCAACTGTTCAAACGGCTGCTCACCCGCTTTGGACTTCTACTGCAACACCCCTGCCCAGAAGGTTGCTGTGTCACTTGGAATTCTTCCATCAAAAACTGACTCCTCTGCCCAATGCACATGCAGAATTCTCCGATACTGCTCCTCAATTACAGCTTCATTTGCACTTCGGAGATGAGGCATTGGCAGATCTTGAAATGGAACCCTGGCGGTCTGGCTCAACACTTTACTCAGTGACAAGCTACTTAGACCTTTGAAGACTTCCATCGATGCCGGAAGGCGCTTCTCGAGCTGACTGAGGACTTCACTCAGGAGGCTTGCACAGTGTGTCTTCATCTCTGTTGCCTTGTTGTGTGCGTCAGGGGAACGATTTTCGCTATTCACGAAGGAACGAAGCTCACTCATAAATTTGGCCCCAAAATCAACTCTGTCCAGGTCAAGTGGTTTCCTTTCGCTGTCGATGATATGACATTTCAAATTTTTGTAGTGCACGAGCAATTCTTGCACCATCTCCTCTGGGTCAGCATCAGTTGCTTGAAAAAAAGAGTTGACCCACTCAAATTCGGCAACGATGGGGGACACAAAGTGAAAGTACAAGACGTTCACGGGATCTGACAACATCTCCAGGATCTCCCTGGCCTTGTACCGGCAGGAGGCATCGGCAGTGGGGACGACTGCTGAAAAGTAAGCCTTCAGCTCTTCCCAGTTGATAAGAATGTTGTAGATGACTTTGCCCCTCACCAACCATCATGTTGCAGACAGCTTCTGGAAAGGAAGAGGTGTTCCCTTTCGCTCATCTGTAGCATCCATCACTTTGAACAGATCTGAAAATGCTTCTCTCCGGAGGATACTCTCGCTGAACCACTTGGGAATTTCTGCTAGGAGATACCCCAGGTTTGATGGAAGCTTATCAAACGCCTTCTCAATACAAAGTGCAAGCAAATGACATATGCATCGGTTCAGCTGACAATGAGGCGATTGCTCACAAATTCGAGACCACACAGAGTTGTGCTCCCCAATCATTGCAGATGCACCATCGCTGCCGAACCCGATGCAGTCAACCAGTTTCAGACCGAGTTCATCTAGTGTGTTCCTGAGTATTTCAAAGAGTTCTCTACCTATAGCCCCAACAACGGGCTTTAGAGCAACAAATTCAGTCACAATATGTAACTTTGACTGGTTGAAATACCTGATGACAATACACAGATGCTTGTCAATAGTGATGTCCGTTGATTCGTCGATGAGGATTGCAAATTTTTTGTTCTCGACATCATGCTGTTGAGTCTCCTTCAAAGCAGGGGAAATTACTTTAGAGAGAAGTTTACTGCACTTAGTGCGATAAACTTGAAGGTTTGTGAGTTTGCCACCTTTCCCATTCTTCTTCATAAATTCTGCCAGGTGATCAATAGTGGACGTTGCGCAGTGACACGCTGTAGTCACAGCAAGCTCAATTTCTATGCGTTTGCTTATCTCAATATCCTTGTCTATTTTCGGTTTCTGAAAAAAGGGTAATGCTGCACAATGAGAACTAGCACTTACTCTTTCTGTATGCCCCTTTGTTTTTTCGTGGTCCAAAAGGCAAGAAAGCTTTGGTGCGATTTGTGTCTTGCAAAGCTTGCACAATCCGTGTTCACTTCCATCGCTAGATTTTGTGAGCCACAAGAACTTTTGTTCCCACGATTTATTATATTTTCTACCACTGCCATATTTCCCTTTCCATTTTCCCGTCGCTGCCATCTTCCGTAGATGTAGAGTTGTTCACTTGTTCGGGGTAAAATATGGTTTAGAGACTAGGCTAACGCTAACGTAAAGCTTCCGCTTGCTAATATACATGCACTGTGCACATACACATTACACATAGCTGCCTTACCATGCATGCAGAGTACACGCACAATGCATTTAGCTAGCTTACATGTACCACAGGCGTATTCTCTTGGTTGCACATCCAGGATTTTCTGTGATGCCGCGCACCAGCTGACGAGAAAACAATCCAGTACTGAGATCCGGGTTAACATCTGCTTATATGACACAGTGCTGTTCACAGAAGGCTTCGGCCTGTGTATTGCATCATTTTTCAGAGGTTTTCAGACAATCTGACAGTCGTTTTCATGCGAATATATTGTATTGAAAACCGGTATTTGGCCAAAATTTCGATTTCCAGCCAAATATATTTGGCCGGAGACATGTTTTTTTCACGGCCAGATTTCTCAAATTTGGCCGGAAAAACGGCCAGATGGCAACCCTGCCAAGGACCACTAACCAGTTGTGTGGGTGTGGCCTAATTTGTGGGTGTGGCTTGGTGGTCATCTGACTGGCTGGGCATGGCTTGTATGTAAATATAAATATATAAATATTGATTTTTTTTATAAAACAGTTTTTTATCTAAAATCAGGCAAAGCAGGCAGATTGAGTTGCTCACAGAATCACAGATTCATTCAGAGATCTATCTATCTGCCATTGGCTAGCGCAGTCTGTCACATAAAATTTGCTTGCAAGCAAACTCACAAAATTAACTTACAACACACCATGCATGTAAATATTGATTTTTTTATTTAAAAAAGAGCAACTTTTACCCAAAGCAGGCAGATTGTATTGCTCACAGAATCATTCAGTGATCTATCTATCTGCCATCGGCTAGCTCAGTCTCTCAAATTTGATTGCTGTGAGTCTGCACTGAATTTGCTTACAAGCAAACCTTCAGTCCTAAGGGAGATTCGGCTGTGCTGAGCTGAAGATCTAGAGACTAGCTGGAAAGCAGGAAAACCAACCATTTCCTGCTTCCTAGCTAATCTAAATCTCCCGGCACAGTAGAACCAATGAGGGTTGGAAAAATAGCAACTTAGCAGACAAGTTTACAGGGTAAGGAGTGAGTGGGCAGGGAGGGTTCCTGCAGGCCATGTGGGCGGCTCAGCCTTCTGTTTCCGCGCAGTCTGGATTAATTGCTTTGGGGTGATGCTCTGGGGATGAGATTTCTCTGCGGCCCACCAAAATTTTCTCACAGCCAACCAGTGGGCCATGGCCCACCGGTTGGCGACCACTGATCTAGTCCAACCCTGCCCCCTAAGCAGGAGTCCTTACATCATTTTTGACAGATGGCAGTCCAGTTTCTTCTTGAAAGCTTCCAGTGATGAAGCTCCCACAACTTCTAAAGGCAAACAAAAGTTATACAACTACTCCTCAACAGATCACAACCAAATCCAAAATTTCTGTTGTTAAGTGAAACATTTGTTAAGTGAGTTTTGCCCCATTTTACGACTGTTACTATACTCCAGCTCTTTTTTTCCCCCTCAGTTCCTGCATCTGATGAGGACAACATTAACTGTCAGGTGTGTAAGTGAATTTTAAGACTGAACATGGAAGGAGCCGAAGCGCCCATGTGGGTATCTTTCATCTGCATTTGCACAATGTGCTTAACCTGGGTATTGAATTAGCCCACTGCTTCACACAGTAAAGGGAATTATAAAGGTGACCAATGGGTTTGGATTTATATAAGAAAGCAAAACCACAAAAATAGCTTAAACAAGGTAATT